TGGTCCTCTCAATGTTCATAGTTTTGGTTTTGAGACGTCTGTAATTGCAGACAAGATCTTCAATAATTCTAACTTATTCTTTTGTAGCAGTAGGACTTATTTCTAATTTAAATGTTTGATTAAGAGAAATATTATTGATATACACAACTTCGGGATCAATTTGTTTAACAAAATGTTTAGAAATATGAACACCATCTTTGTTTATATTAACTTTACCTTTTTATTTTGCAGTAGGACCTATTTCTAATTTAAATGTTTGATTAAAGGAAATATCATTTATGTACACATCTTCTGGATCAGTTAATTCAACAACATGTTTAGAAATACGAACACCATCTTTGTTTATATTAAATTCACCCTGTTTAAACATATCCTCGCCAATTATAGTGTGAAATACTGTCTACAATATATACTGAAATATAATACATTACTGTCTAGAACATAAATATTATTTGCAAATAATTTTGTATCTATTAAAAATGTCAGCTGTAAAATAACCCATTGGTTTAATTTTGTCATTACCGAAGCCAGTCAACATATTATGAAACACGCTTAAAAGGGAATTTCCTATTTGTTTATAAATGTCATTAGACAGAAAAGTTGCTTTGCTTCTGGTAGCAATGATAGTGGTTAGTGATACAGTCAAAAGTCGTTAATCCGGACTCGTCGGGACTTCGGCGATTCCGGATTATCGATTTTTCCGGATTATAGATCATCAGTTTAAATCTCGTAAGATGGCATGCAGAAATTCTAAAATTAAAAATATGAAACCGTAATTTATGAAATAAAGAACAATTATGATCTAAGGGTATCAAAATTTGCAAAAAGAAAAAGCTTAATATTTATTTGTTTACTTTATTAAACATTTCTTTTAATGTAAGTTGTTTAAGTTTTGCTTCGTTTCATGTGATAATACTTTCTCTTTAATTCTATTAAACAGACATAATTTCTTGTTCAGTTACAAAGTTCCGCTGTTCAAGTCCTATAATTGCTGTGTCAAGAACACCGACTAATTTGTCAATCGAAATTTTTTCGTTTTCAATAACCTCTCTTACTTTTTTTCGCTATGGGAAGCGAATTATAATGACCAGGAACTTGTTTTAAATCATATCAAAGAACGGAGCATATCGAGATGAAATACTACATTTGGTAAGGAATTATAAGCCAAATAAAAACATCTGCGCTGAAGATGAGGATAGTGCTGACAAATCAACTTCCAATTCATTATGCGCCCGCCGCCGCACGGCGTTCCCCCCGCCGAGCAGCGTGAAATTGATAAACAGATTTCGGATTTCAAAACATACTTTCGCTTTAGATCCTTTACATATTAACAAATATATATCGGAAATTCTATTCGATATAATCGAAAGTTTAAGCTTACTTTTATAAAATTGCTCTTACAGTCTGCAAAAAACAATAAGCCGGATCCAATTCGAAAATTAAGGAACAACGCAATCATCAACATTAACTAAAATAGATAATTAGATAATTTTAGCTTATACGTCCATTAAACATAAAACGCGCACGCGAAAACGTATTCTGCACTTGCGCACACTGATATGCACCTATGCGCATGTGTCAACGCGGCGCATGCGCAGAAAGTTTTTAGTTTTGATGTCCGGATTATAGATCATTCCGAATTATGGGTGTCCGAATTAACGACTTTTGACTGTATATCATTAACTTTGATTACTTTGTGGAGTAGGTTAGATGCATGAAAGTTGATTAATATAACAGCCTTCGTTTTTTCAGATGTTGGACTGTTGTTTTTGTCAGAATTTTGCTGCTGAGATTTTTTAACACTCGTGAAGGATATATGACCAAAATTTCCACAAGATAAATATTTGGGTCTGCTATTTTTGTCGGGATAAAATTTAGATAAATGACCCAACCCATTACAATTATAACATTTTGATGACTGGTAATTACTGGTATTTGCTGAGAAACCTTTTCTGTCATGTAAAGCTAAAAATGTAGCTTCACGAGATTGAATTTTCCACTGAAATCATTCCACAATTTTGGGTCTCCTGAATATGGTTTGGTTGTTAATTTTAAAAGTTTAACTGAAGAGGGTAAATTTAAGCTATAATTTGGAGTACTTAACAGTTTTTCAAATGTCAATGAGTTAGTAAAAGTTTCTTTCAAGTTTGTTGTAGACCTTAAGACATTTTTCTTGTTTTTCTTTCTCAATTAAGTTTACATCAGTGAAATGTTCAATTTGTCTATCTTAGAATTTTAGTTTATTTATTTTTTTTCTATTGAAACTTCTAGGTGTTCATCTAAGATATCACATGTAACATTTTCATCTGCTAAAGCAACATCAATTCTTAAAATTAGTTTAGTAGTACTGCTTCTTTCAATATTACGCTTTTGTTTTAATTTCTCAAAAATTTTTTCTGAAGACATGTTTATTAGTTGAAACAATTGTACAGTCAAAATTAAATTGATAAATGTAAAGTGCTCACCTGTAATCATTTTGAAAATAAGTGAACTTTACTAATCCAGATGCAATGGTGATCATGATCTAGCACAGGTGATGTAACATAGTACAACTATGGGCATGAAATCAAAACTACTTCTAGCACCAAAATATAGGAAAGAATTGACGATAAGCATTGCACCTAGGATTTATTTACTTACATTAGAATAAAAAGAATAATTGTCAAAACATTTTTTACATGTCTGTCCTTACTAATGTTTGGCTCTCGTCTTACCACACCCTCATCTAGATGGTGATTTCACATAATCTTACTTAGTTATAGTTCCCACAATAATAGATAAAAATGAAATTATTTATGATTAAATATAAAAAACATGTTTCAAAATATGAAAAGCTTGCTTTTGTTTTACAGTGGTTACCTGTGAGGTTCGAACTCGCAACCTTTCCCTTTGCAAACCAGCACACTGACCATTCAGCTATATGTGATGACAATTTTTGCGAAAAATAATATAACAAGTAGAAGTCGCTGAATTTAATTTAATTAATATTCAATAAATAAGTGCCGTATGACAAGTTGTAACTATCCTTCAAAATTTTGTAACTGTATTTGATTGAATACTCTTTCACAGTCAGCTGCTTTAATTTTAGAAGTTGTTATATTGTCGAAGTTAGTTTTTGGTGTATCTAATATTGGGATACTTAGAGCTTCTTGTTACACAGGAAATACCAAATATTTATGTAATAAAGGAGAATTTTGAAAAGCAGAAAATTTGATTTTGTAGAAACTGTAATTTATTTAGATACCTATTACTCGCAGTGTTACATTCAGGTGATGCATTACTGGTTGGATCATTGCTTTATAAATATAGTTTTTTCCCTCTAATGAGAATTAAAAATTTATACCAATCTATATGGTTTGAGAGAATTAAAGAGGCTGTAAACAGTGCTGATGATTTTATTCCTGTGGGCAGCTACGTTCTCTTTAAAAAAAAAACTCATCCCTATGTGGTTCCAGCGCCATATTGAAAAGTGTAAACAAGAAGTTTTTTCTGACTATGACACGTGAGAAGAACTCAATCAGCTACTGGCTGTTTTTTCACGTCACTGGTGAAATAACTGAACAGAAGCAAACTCAGGTTTACATCCTCTCCATAATTCGAACTTATGCCAACGAAAAGAAATAGTGGCAACTATGCCGCAAGCATACTCATGTGAACAGGCCTTAAGAAGTTTAAAAGCCCTGATCTTACTGGCTGCATTATATTAAAACATTATTTATATTTAGGTAGTAATTTATCTCCCCCCCCCCTTTTTTTTTTTTTTTTTTACTTAACTCCTCCATTTTCTTAACCTTCTTAACATTCCTGTTCTTCAAAGCAATAATGTAATGATATAATGATGATTGTTATATTGTTATTGCTTTTACATAGTTGACATTGTATCAAAACTTATATGGCCTGTCTCCAAAACAGAACTGTCTTTCTTTAGCAGAAAAAAGATTTTGTCCTGCTGATGGCAGAAAATATTGGCAAAACCTAATTAAAATTTTTTAAATACTGTCTTAATTATAATCAATAATTACAGTTGCTAATTAGTAATACCTTCTGCGGTAGACTCTGCTTAATGTGATTTGTCCATGGCCATTTTAGTAACATTATAATTTATGGCCATAAAAATCTTCAAGCTTAGATAAATGAAATGAAAAACAAATGTACAAAAATTAAAGCCATATTAAACTCTACACTTCCCTACAATAATAATATGGATCATATAAATTTGTGAATATAAAATAAGAAAATAAATTTCATAATTGTATCTGTTTAGGGAAGGCTTTTAAAACATTTCAAATATAAAAATTTCAAACACGTTGCAAAATTGCAAAAAAATTCAAAATATTATAATGTAATTAAATTTTAATTTGAAATAATATACTATTATTATCAAAATTTCTAATTTACTTATTTTGTACAAACTGGAAGACCCCACAGCTTTCTCTTAATACAAACATTTCCATCTTATTCACAAATCCACAGTAACGAATTAGTGTATGAATTTTCACCAATGGTTACGGGATGTTCGGTACAGTTATTTATAAAGTTCTCTGTTCCTTGTTTTAAAGGCTACTGGCCTTTTTTAACTGCACTATAACATTCCTGGTTTGAATTAAGAGTTTCAGTTCCCAGTTGTTATGTCATCACCACTGTGCAGGCGATGCAAAATGGAATGATCTAGAAATGATGCAATCCAGAGGAGTTATTACGATTTTTAAAACAGAGCGAGAATTAAAAGGTTATCGTTAGTTTAAATTATAGTTTGGTTTATATATTTTTTTTATCTTGCATACATGTATGTAAAATGTAAGGCTGTAGACAAAACTGTTGACTATCTTAGTTCTTCATTAAACAAAATTAATATAATTCATTAAAATCAATTTGAGTGTAAGAAAACTTTTAGTGCTGAATAAAAATATCATCTTTGATAATTTATCATGTGTTTATAATATTAAATCATTTTATTGTATAAGTTTTATTGTATTGTTTCATAAGGTCTTTCTTTGTAGCTCTTACGGGATAAATCGGATTGGAAAGGTTTGGCTTCTTACCATATTAAAACTGTGATGCTGTGGGAAGTCTCTAAAAATACAAATCATGGAGCCTGGGATAATACTTTTCTATATGAAAGATATTTACAGGTACATTTTTGTGCATGTTTGTAAATCTTAATGTTTTGTCTTTATTTATAATATATAGTAAAATCATTCTGGATTATATATTATACAGTCAAAAGTCGTTAATCCAGACTCGTTGGGACTTCGGCGATTCCGGATTATAGATCATCAGTTTAAATCTGGTAAGAGGGCATGCAGAAATTATAAAATTAAAAATATGAAACTGTAATTTATGAAATAAAGAACAATTATGATCTAAAGGGTATCAAAATTTATAAAAAAAAAAAAAAAAAAAAAAAAAAAAAAGCTTAATATTTATTTATTTACTTTATTAAACATTTCTTTCAATGTAAGTTCATAAAGTTGCTTTGTTTTATGTGATAATACTTTCTCTTTAATTCTATAAACAGACATAATTTCTTCTTCAGTTACAGAGTTCCGCTGTTCAAGTCTCTATAACTGCTGTGTCGAGAATACCGACTAATTTGTCAATCGAACTTTTTTCGTTTTTAATAACTTCTGTGTCACTTTCTTCACTATCGGAAGCGAATTATAATGACGAGGAATTTGATTTAAATCATATCAAAGACGGAGTACATTGAGATGAAATACTACATTTAGTAAGGAATTATAAGCCAAATAAAATAAAAACATCTGCCCTGAAGATAAGGATAGTGCTGACAGATCAACTTGCAATTAATTCATTGCGCGCCACGGCGTTTACCCGCCTTCGCCACAGAGCAGCGTGAAATTGATAAACAGATTTCGGAATGGTTAGAGAAACAAAGGATATGCCTTTATCCATTTTTTTGCAGCAATTCCACTTTTTGTTTAATGGACTTCGAAACATACTTTCGCTTTGTAGATCCTTTACATATTAGTAAATATATATCGGAAATTCTAAAATTCTGTTTGACATAATCGAAAGTTCAAACTTACTTTTATAAAATTGCTCTAACAGTCTTCAAAAAATAATAAGCCAGATCCAATTCGAAGATTAAGGAACAACGCAATCTGCAACATTAATTGAATTAGGTAATTTTAGCTTAGCTTTTACCGTCCATTATACATTAAAAGTGCATGCATAAACGTATTATGCGCATGCGCACACGCATATCCGCAGCCGTAAAGGTCTTACTCGCATGCGTAAACGCGACGCATGCGCAGAAAGTTTGTAGCTTTGAGGTCCGGATTATGGGTGTCCGAATTAACGACTTTTGACTGTATATATATCTTGCTGTCAATTAACAGAACTCCCAAACTTTTTGCTAAAATGAGGAAGGAGTTCCCAATTTTTCATGATATCCCGTAGTCATCCTGTATATCTTCAGTTCACATGATTTTTAATTTATTAAAATTTACATCATCTGTTTCAAATGTAGTTCTAGAAAATCTGTTGATTACTGATTGTCAAAGAAAAAAGTAAGACTATAAAGAAAATTTTCATGACAAATTCTTGAAAAAAGCAAAAGCAATGATTGTCATTCTCTTAATGAAATATAAAATATTAAAAATTCAGATTCCGTATAAAATTTTTAAAAAATTACAAAACGAAATGGAATTAGACAAAATAAATATATAATTTGTTATTCTGAATTTTAATTTAATATATTTTACATTGAAATTATGTTATGACTAAATTAATAATTTGAATTATGTATTATAAAATGACTTTATGTCAAATGGTCCTTAAAACCCCCATTTTCATATTTTGAAGTTGGCAGCTATCGTGTAATTTCTTTTTACATGTAAAAAAGTTTTTTTTTTTTTTTTTTTTTTTTTTTTTTAAGTTAGTCCATTAATACTCTTCAGAAACACACTATATTGTGTTTTTCCATCCATAGTCGTGGCACTATTCAGCATTTTTAATCTTTGTTTATGAATTCATATGAGAATTTGAAAATTACCAACCTGAATAGTTAACATAAAATTAAGCAAAATTATTAGTATTTGAAAATTTTATGCCAAACTTGCATAGATCTGTCATTAAAGATTTTTTATCTTTTAAATATGTAAAATATTTGCAGTATGTTTGGATGACATGAAATTAAGTGAAAAAAAAAAGAGGTAATTACTCCTTTAAATATGTTAAGTTGAAGAAATGTTAGTTAAAGAACCCATAAATGAAGATGAATAAATAAGGTCATTTTTCATAATTTTAGGGGGAATTGCAGACTTAAAGATTCTATACCAAGGGGCTGTTTTCAGTTTGTTTTGACATTATTTATATTTTGAATGGCTATAAAAGCAACTGAAAAATTCTCTTGATATTATGTTGTTGCCATGAAATTTAAGGAATTAACATCTATTACTTCCACCTGATTTCACATTCTTAATTTTAATCAGCAATATCATAGCATTATTAAGAATTGTTTTAAAGTAAGTTCTTAAATTTAAGAAAGAAGTATTCTTTTCAAAGGGCATTTCTTTTCCACTAGTGGCAAGTCTCTAGTTTGCATTCAAATGTGGTGATATCTTTAGCAGAGTTTAAAAAATGTTCATCATCTTTATATTGTAATCTTGGCATTTACTGCATTTTAACTAGCCTAAACATAAAATGTTACAGTAAAAGTCTGATTATTTGGCTTCCAATGATTTGGCTCACCAGCAGTTTGGCAGGCGTATATCTGACTTAAGTACTATCCCAGGATGCTACAAACATGTCGTTAGAAAATAATCTGGAGCAATTGGCATTTCCTTCAAAGCCAGCATCGTTGTTAGATATTTTCAAAACAACTTTTCTATGGGATTGGATCAGAATCGTTTGCTCACTAAAATAAATCATTTCTTTTTTATGACTTACTGTTCGTGAACAGTAACCTTGAAGAAAGAGTGAAAGGTGAATTAAAAGTGGTTAACGAGGATAAAGCAAAGAACAGATATAATTGAATGAGCAGTGGGTACAAGATGCTACAGCTTCTTACCCCCCCCCCGCCGCCAAGAGAAGTGTATTTTACCTTCCATTTAAGAGCATTTTCAAAAATAATTATAATATGCAACAGTTTGTTGAAAAAGAAATAGTCTGGGGATCGCATTAGCTGTGGTTGCTAAGTTGTGACAACCGGAAAAAGTGTATTTAAATTGAATTTTAGGTATATTTCTATATATTGTTTATTTTAAATAAATTGCATACAAACTTATATTAAATAAAATAATAGATACATATGTGTATTAAACTGAATATGTATATCCATTTTCTCATAAAGGCAGAAATGTGCTAATTCCTGTTTCTTGGCCAATGCTGTTATAACAGAAAGTTGCCAAAATATTTATAGTTCTAGTGTTAACCTACTACAGATAACTAAAGGTAACTATTACAGTATTATTTCTTTATTGACTACATTAGCAGTCAATAAGGCTATAGTGAGCTGGAATATTATAAATAACAGAAATAAAGTGAAATCGCATGTTTGGAAAGTTTCCTAAGTGTGAGAACACCGGCCAAGTCTTGGTAGAAGTTTGGTAATACAAAAGTGCAAATACAAATTGAATACACTGAATCAAAATAAAAATGATCAAGAAAATATAATCTATCAAGAAGCTAGACCTAAAAGGGAAGAACTATATACAGCAAAGAAAGAGGGAAAATATGCAAGTCTTTTTTAAATTTTCAGAACCTATCACTAAAGAGCTGGTCAGGAGGAATATCTAAAGAAATATCATATTGCATTGTGTTAGGCTACCAAAGTTCCACCTCCCCTATGCCCATCTGCAGCACTTCTGCCATTAGACAACGAGCAACCCAGTAAAATGAAGAAGGAAAATGATAATTAAAAGTAGCATCAAAATAGTTGTCATTAAAAAAACTTTGAAATAATGGCGCAGTTCTTGAGATGGTCGCCATCCATGTCACTCTGATGCCATAAAGGGCAACAAGCTGAATCCTTGATTCCAATACAACGTAAATGCCTTTGTAAATAACCGTGTCCTGTTAGCATTCGAAAACAAGCAACTCCAGATCAAGGCAATTTTGATCCAGAAATTTTGTTCTTTTTGTTAAGCAGGATGTTCCACCTCTTACCCCCACAGCTGCATCTCTGTATAAGGACATTCTGTTATTCTTAATTGTACTGTTCACAATCTTTTTAATGTTGCGCAAAGGCAGAGAAGAATCAGGCTGAGTCATTAGAGAATCAGCTTTAGCAAGTCTATCAGCCTGTTCTTTACCAAAAAATGGCTTATAATCCATTGGAGAATAATGTTTTTTCTAGAATTCCAAAAGCCTTGCTATACAAGTATGGATATGTGCATTTTCATTATATTTTGAATTTGCAAGCAACAATATAGCAGCCTGAGAATCAATGAGAAACACAATAACGGGATCAGGACTTCTTTTAATTTATCAATTTCAAATGATATTGCAGCTTTCTCTCCATCATTGTGACAGTATTTCCCAACAGGATAGCTACTCTGAAAGTACTTGAATATGCTCCAGCATTACTTCAGTGCTGGAGCATATTCAAGTACTTTCATTTCATTCAAGTACATCATTTTTATAGCGCCTTCTGCTGAACCATCAGTGTACACATGGAGCCAATCATCAGGAGGGTTCCTACTATATATAGTAGCCAGAGCGGCCCTTTTTTTGTAAGGAGAGCTGTTTATGGACATTAAAAACAAGATCCAGGTGGCCTTCCAACATGGTTTGATCTAGAACAGGATTTAATTCCTGAGGGGAAAAAAAACCTGGTGATTGGGTGTAGGAATATCATAAGTATCATAAAGATCGTGAACAGTAGAAAGGAAGGAATTGTGGGTTTTAATCTTTTGTTTGCTGGTCTGTAATAATTCGGAAAGTTATTTTTTCTTCGTAAGATCTTTTCAACGAGGTTTATGGCCCACTTTCGCACTTTTCACTTAGCGGTTCTAGTTCAGTAAAAGTTCCATAGTAACTATGGGGGTTGATTTAGGTCCACCAGTGATCAATCGCAACATGTTGTTTTGGAATAGGTCAAGCTTGTTTTTAACAGGGTCTGAAGAGGTTATCAAAGCCTCGTTTCCATACTCAACAACAGGATGAATATAACTTTTATAGGCTGCACCCAAGACATCTGGGGTTGAACCCCAAGTGTCACCAGCTAAACATTTCAATAGTCTTTATTTGGCATATCCCTTATCAACACCTGAATCAACATGTTTTGTCCAAGTTAATTTTGGGTCTAAGCTAATACCCATGTAGACAATATCAAAAGTTCTATCCAGGTCTGTCATTAAACTGAAGTTAGATGTCATGATGTTTTGTACTGAGGGAAAACAATTGAAAAGTGGTTTTATCAGTATTTGCGATTATATTATTCTCTTAAGCCCAGGTGTTAGAACATTTAAGGCCTGTTGTAGGATGCTCTCCAGCCCAGAAAAGTCAGATCCTGTAGCACTCATCACATCATCAGCAAATAATAAAACATTCACACCTGGGACAGAACTGGAAGTAGTCATTGATCATTATATTAAAAAGAATCAGGCTCAGAACAGCTCCTTAGGGCAAACCCTGTTTGGTTTAACTATAACCTGACATAGCATGACCATACTTAACACTTATAAAGTGTTGGTCAAGAAAACTTTTAATCCATCTAAACAAGTAACCTAAAATGCCACAGGAAATAGCTTCCTAAGCAGTCCACCTCTCCAAACCATATTAAATTCATTTTACAAGTCCACAAATACTGCAAGGGTACTTTGCCTTCTTTGAAAGCTATCTTTTATCTCTTGGGGAAAGCATACAATTTATTCAACTGCACATCTATGTCTATGGAAACTCCCCTGTTTTTCAGATATTAAACCAATTTTCTGTAGTATAAACTTAAATCTGTTAGCAATCAATCTTTTGGTTAATATACACATTATGCTTGTAAGAGAAATCGAGCGGTAACTGTACATATTTTCAGCCAGTTTGTTAGGTTTGAGAAATGGTATTATCTTGGCCTTTCTCCGAGCATTTGGCGAGCCATTTCTCCAAAATCTCCCAGATTTACAGGGAACTCGGGTAGGATTTCATCCTGGCTTGAACTTTTACCTAAGGTATCTAGGCCATTTTTCAATTTCCCAATAGAGAAATCAGCATTAAAAAGTTGTTCAAAAACTGGAGAATTGTTGTCCTGGGGTGGTTTCAGTTCACTTTATTTTATTTTAATAGTATGCCTGTAATTGCTTACCCTAGCTTAATACCCACAAAATGTGTTTGAAATATCTTTATCAGTAGTAAGCTCTTTAAAACCTTTTTAATAGGTTCATTTCTTCTGATGTTTTGATTGTTTATCTGGGACAAAAAATTATGAGCCGTTATGCCATCTTTTCTAAAGTCCAGTTTTTCTAGAAAGTCTTTATATGAGGAACACTTTTGCTTCAATTATTGATCTTTTTAAGATAGCCTCTGTCTTATGCAAAGCTATACAGTCCTCGCTAAGGCCGGTATTTTGAGCCTTCTCACGAGCCCTATTTCTTTCTTCATAAAGCTTTTGAAATTTTTCATTCCAAAAAGGGGTATGTTTCTTTTGTCCTCTTGGGACACATAGAGATGCACACTTTAGTATAAGTGGTATAGCATGGGTTAAGAGTTTTGAAGAATGTTCAAGATTTGGGGAAATCAAGGAGTTGGTTATAAAGTAATCAGTGAGGCCTTTATAGTTGAACCAGTTTGCCTTTTTAAAGTTCCAGGAAACCTGATGAGGCTCCCTGTAAGGGGATTTATATCTTACAATACTGAATAGTAATATATTATGCCCAGCAACACTGGGACTATCAATTAACTCATGCTGTGTTTTACATGACAGAGCTGGGTGGGCTAGGAGTAAATCAGGATGAGAGAAACTTCCATTGTAAGAAGGGAAAGTTGGATAATTTCCTTCATTCTTAATGAAATCAATAGGGTTTGAATCTATAAGATTTTTGACTATGCAACCAATACTATTTGATGTTGAGTAATCCCAGTGAGTTGAGGGGTTGTTGAAGTTTCCAAGTGAATATTTATCCCAATCAAGTATTATTCTTTCAAAATCAAGTTTATTATATGTAGGGTCTATTGTCTCCATATAGTTTCAGAAATTCTAATTGATCATTATTAGTCATCCAGTGAGAGACAATTAACTTTGCCTTTCAAGAAAGTTTTACAAAAACATTAATGCCAGAAGCAATTTGTCTTGATAGCACAAATTTCTGATATCCAGGAATATTAAAATATACTTCATTGTCTGCAGCGGCTCCACTCTCACCAACACCCATTATGTCAAAATCACAATTAGAAATAATAGTCTTCAATTCAGCAAATTTGTCATGAGTTAAACAGCCATCATTCCAAAAAGAAATCTTAAAAGCTGGTTTAGTCTAGTCTTAGAAAAGACTTTTTGCTTTATTTCTCTCTTTACTTCTAAAACCCTCAAGAACTTGCACCTATCCCCAAGTCAAAATACTTTTCTACTTCTTCATCAATGAGGGCTGCTTAAAGGCAACAGATATCAGTCATTTAGTTTAAACAGGGGGCAACATGTGAAGGCCACTAATATCACCCTCCATAGCAAAGTATTAAGTCATAAAATTTACAGAGCATAATAACCTGAAATTAGTGGAGAAGTATTGAATCTTCATGTTTTCTTCAGTGATATTTAAGAATATGATATTTGAACTCTGAAATCCTAATGCAGCAGTGATGTAGTGCATCCCAAAATATAAATTATGTAATAATTAATAATTATGCATATTCTGTAGTTTATTCTGCAGTATGTTTTCAGTCATTGAATGCATTTGTACTACTGCTTTATGCAGAGCTCCATTTAAAGTGCTGCCCTTTTAAAATAATAAAATTATATTTTAAAAATTGCTTTTACTGCAGTGTCCTGTTAAGTGTGGTAATATGATATTATTTGATAGTTCAGCATTCCTGAAATGCTGAAGATGTCAGATTATCATATTTTGGCACTTTAGGATTAAATCAGCCACTTCGGTCACTCACCATAGATTAGTCGCAGAGCTTGGAAAATATAATCAGCAGATTTTTAACCTTCAACAGATTTGATTTTCAGACTGTTGTGATTGTTGTTTTGTCCTTGTCATGTCTTTGATTCAGTAATCCTTTTTTACTCGAAAATGTTTAGCATTTTAACTTAGAAAAGAAGATGTGATTGTTTTGTGATATTAATAATGTGCCACATTTCTTTTTATTTTCATACCCACTCAACTTATATTTCATACAGTTATCAAGAGACAACTGTAATTTTGTTATATTGTTCCTTATTTTCTTTTTAAATAGTGAAATAGTGGTAACTCTCAACTTTTGTGTCAATTTTAATTATTAGGCTTTTTGTGATCTCGTTTGTTCTTTCGTATTCTTCATTATTATTATTTTCCTTAAAATTTTTATCCTTTTTAACTTGCTATGAGCTGAAAGAAGAGTAGTGGTTTTCTTACAAGAGCATAGAATTTTGTTTTCAGAGCAAAAGTGTGAAAAGGGCCATCAAATGAATTTATTTATAGGGAAGCTGTGGTCAGATGGCAAAACAAAAGATGAAAAGAAAGGTTTCATTAATAGATTCATTTTTAGGAGAATTTATGTGGTGGCAGTATGTAAGATTAGCCAAAATATTTTATTCTTTTATTCTAGCAATTGCCAAATTATAATCTCTAAAATGTAAATAAATGTTATTTCTCCAAAGGTAAATAGATATTATTTCAGGTTAAATCTGAATAAATTTTATTAATTTTTAAAACAAATGCTATGTGTTATGTTCTAATTGTGTGGTCTTTTTCATTTTTTAAAGGTTACCATTTTGTTTTTCAATAGTTAACAAATTAATTTTATATAGTGCCAAATGTCACTTAAGCATGTGCAAAAGTCACTTTGATACTGCAGTGCCATATATTAACATATTTTCTTCTGTATCTGAATAATAAATTTCCTTCTATTGCAGGTTATGAAACAATTATATTCATATTTGAAAAATAGAAATTTGCCTTTTTTCTTTCACCCTCAATTGAATCTGCTACATAAATTCAATGAAGAAACGTATGAAAACTGGAGTAACCGTCTAAAAGATATTATATCATCTATAGAATCTAATCATGAAGCATTATTAAAGTATTATTGTTGATTTTTTTATATATATAATTTTATATGATTTATTTATTTTGAGGTTATTATGATCTGCTGTGAAGCTTCTCTCTTGTTGTATATGACTACAATATGAAAGTGATAAGTATTTCTTTGATATTGTTATTAGTATTGCAGAATTGCCAAATCTTCAAATAAAATTGAGAGATAACAGTTTTCATTCATATCTCCGAATTTTTAATTTATGTCTCAACTGTTTCAATTCCTTAGATATCTAGAGGTTTTCCTTTTTTGTTCAGGTTTCCTTTGGTATAAAATTTTAAGAATCTTCAAAATGCAATAAAATAAGCCAAAAACATAACTCATAATTTGTTGTTCTAAATTTTAGGGAGATTTCATCAATATTTCATTACAACTAGCTTAATAATTTGGATTATGATTTATAAAACAATCTATGAAAACTCGTAGATTTAGCCCTTCAAACATTACGAAAAAATTTAATCTAGCTGCCCCTTCAAAAATCGCATATCTTGATTGAAAGAGCTTTTAATTCCTCCATTTTTTCATACTTTAAAACTGGCAGATAGACAAATAAGAAAGATTTTAAAAAATAAATAAGATTTTAAGAATTGCAAAAGAGAAAACTGTCAGATATATTAGTGATTTTAATATTGTTAAGTTTCCTTTTCATAAGTTCTCAATTTTGTTGAATAATACAGTAAATTGTTGCCATTTATGGAGTTATGTCATTAATATGTTGTGCATATAACAAAGTTAACTTACTATGCTAAAATATTATGTTTATGTGTAATTTAGCAAGCTTAAATATTGTTGTAATTAAAAGGAAAGAATGAAACAAATGTTAGTTGAAAGGATTTTTATTACTGCTGAGTATGTGTACATGATACAATTTTTCTTTCTTTCTTTCTCTCTCCCCCTTCCTGAATAAAGCGTACCTTTCTTTCTTCATTTGGATCAGTCTATATTTATATTAAAAAAATGTAGTCCGAACAAACAATTAAACGCAACTTCAAATCTTTAGAACAACCATTTTCCTATTTGTTTTTAAACATAACTTTTAAAGAAAAGCTGTACCATGGACCATGCGACGGTGCATGTCCGAGCCGATATTTAGCGCAGAACAATTACAAAATATTAAACCCCCCACCTGTCTCGTTAGTACATAAGAATTAAAAAGAGACAATACAATACAATTAAAGTATACACAATACAATTATCATATACAACTAGTCCGATCCTCCTGTCCTCATAGCATTGCTAGACATAAGCAATATTAAAAAGATACATCCCAGTCGTTAATCCAGACTCGTCGGACTTCGGCGATTCCGGATTCGATTTCCGGATATAGATCGCAGTTTAAATCTCGTGGGCTGCAGATTCTAAATTAAAAATGAAACCGTAATTTATGAAAAAGAACAATTATCTAAAGGGTAAAAAATTTACAAAAAAAAAACAAAATATATATTTGCTTACTTTATTAAACATTTTCAATGTAAGTTGTTTAAGGGCTTCATTTTAGGTATACTTCTCTTTAATTCTATAAACAGACATAATTCTTGTTCGTTACAAAGTCCCGCTGTTCAGTCCGTTAATTGCTGTGCCGAGAACCGACTCTTGTCAATCGGAATTTTTTCGTTTTCACTAACCTCTGTCACATTCTTCATGTCTTTCCATTTTTTGCGCAATTCACTTTTTTTGTTGACTCGAAACATACTTCGTTTTGTAGATCCTTTGAAGTTCCAGCATTGGAAATCTATTTGACCATAATCGAAAGTTCAAGTTACTTTTATAAAATGCTCTTACAGTCTGCAAAAAAAATAAGCGGATCCCATTCGAAGATTAAGGTACAACCAATCATTAACTTTAACTGAAATAGATAATTAGATAATTTTAGCTTACACCGTCCGTTATACATTAACGGCAGGCGGAAAACGTACTCTGACTTGCGCACACGCATATGCGCAGTAGTCAAGGTCTTACGCACACGTGTAAATGCCACATCGGCGCTGCACACGCGCATGCGCCGATGTGGCACATGCGCAGAAAGTTTTTAGCTTTGAGGTCCGGATTATAGATCATTCCGGATTATGGGTGTCCGAACTAACGACTTTTGACTGTATCAGGTTATTTCAAGTGGATAAATTAACTGGATTGGTCTTTTATATTGTCCCTTGTCATTTTGAATAACACATAAACGTACGTGTTCGTCACGACCAGTAAAAACCTCTTCGACAATAACCAGTGGCCAGAGAAATTTTGATTTAGCTGCCCCTTCAAGCAAAACAACATCTCCTCTTTTAAGATCCTTTCCTGGTTATGGATTTACAAAATTATGTGATTTCTCAATTGCATCAAATAATTATCTTTCCATTTCATCCACAGTTGACGTAAAAGTTTAGTCTGATATAATTTTCGATAAATCAAAGTTTCCTTTGTAGAAGGTTGACTGCTGAAATTTCAACAAAATGTATAGGATAGCAAACATTTTCTTGACCAGGAAACAAAAAATGGGCCAGAGTAAGAGGCTTGGGTTCATTTAATTCATTGCTTACGTAAGTAAGAGGTCTATGATTTAATACCAATTCGATTTCCGTTAGAATGGGCGTCATTCCTCGAAGCTAAGACAAGCCTTTCCAAGGACTTTCCTTAAAGGGTCCTTTATGCTTCTCATGAGTCTCTCGTAGAACCCACCTCATTATGGGGCATGAGGAACAATAAACTGCCACATTATTTCATGTAGAGCAACAAAGAATCAACCAAAATTTGGGCGAAAGCTTTCAAAATGTTGTCTGTGGTCTTAAAATTCTTAGCATTATCAGAAATGATAACCTTACAATTCCCCTTTCTTGCCAAAAAAACGTCTTAAGGACAAAATAAAACTCTTCTTCAACATATCAGTAATTAATTCGATATGAAGTGTTCTAGTAACTCCACACGTGAATAAGGTTATCTATGATCTTTGTTGAATGGGCTTTCTGGAACAAAGAAAGACTAGACATGTAAAATCAACTCCAGATACAGTAAATGGAGGATTTTACAATACTCGATCCTTTGGCAATTGAGTTGTTATCTGTTTAGCAGGTTTTACAGAATATCTGCTGCAAATGAGACAATTTTTTAAAACTTTCTTTACAACTTGTCTACCCTTTGGAATCCAAAACCTATTTCTAATTTAGAAGTCGCGAGATACTCCATCATGGTAAATTTTGTTATGTTCCCTTAAAATTAATAACTTAGTGAATTTCAGCTGTTTGGGTAATATAAATGGATGGATTTCATCAATGGCAGAACTGCTTTGCTCAAGCCTACTTCTTACGTGCAAAATACCGTTTTCATCTAAAAATGTGACTAGCTGATAAAGAGATGATTGCTTAGGAATTTGGGTACTGAATTTAAGGCATTCTTATTCAGAAGAGTACACAAGTCCTTGTTCATACTTTATCCAGTCCTGTTCTGCTTTAAAGAGTTCAACTGCAGTGTAAGGTCCCATTTTTACATGTTCTTTTCTAAGTTTACCAAAGAATCTTTTAACTACCATATTTGACAGCATATAAGATGCACTTTTTTTTTCCTAAATTATCTCAAAAAGTTACTGCGTCTATACGTGAGGTAATGCATTCAGATTGTTTATTGGCGTACAAAACGTGAGAACAACAGAACCACGTATGAAACTTTTTTCCCTTGTGTGTGCCGTCTAAATAAGGGTGGTCCTATATCGTCATACGTAATCCATAATTTTCAGTACCGTAGTAGGCTACTATAGTGATCAAATCTAAATAAATTAGATTCTCCACTGAACATATTGTGTTATAGTTTCAATTCCTTTTCAATTCTAATCCTCATGAGATCGCATTTTAATCAGGCCAAACTCATTAGGTTGACTCAATCAAGTGTTCATGCAACCACAAAGCACTCCAGCTAAGTCGGGCTGAAATACCCCTAAAAGGATATCTGCAGATTTTCCTTCCAGAGCATGAACCATTTGTTAGGATCGTCAAATTTTGAATTCTTCTACTCTGTCTCACCTCTTGTTTAGCAAGCCTAGAGATAATAACTGTAGCAATTCCAATGTGGGGGATAAAATTTGAGAGGGTCGGCCTATTCTTAGAGCATATAAAACTAGTGATTCTATTATCTCAAGTGAGTACTCTCAATGTAGCATGTCCCGTATGCCGCCATAGAGCACTTAAAAAATGAATATCAAATTAACAAAATCACCTAAATTGAATACTAATTCAGAAGTCAAACAACAAAAATCGCGTTATATTAAAAATTTCACAGACTAGTTTCGATGTTTTACCGAACAACATCCTCAGTGCAACGCAATAACAAGTAAGAAAGAGATTAGTCGATGCCTGGACACGATAAGCAGTGCGCCTCTTGGTGAAACAGAACTAAAACATTCAAAATAATTTTAAGGCCGAAGGCAATTTGGATTGGAATTGATCGTTAACTAAACAGAAAGATTTTATGAATGGAAATACCCGAAAATAGCCCTAACAGTTACGTTTTGCTTTCTTTTTTCACGTGTTGGCCGCCATTTGTGATTGCATGAGTTTAGGTAATCTTTTTTGCAATTCAGTTAGTTTATGTTTGTATATTTGATATGTCTTTGCTTTATGATTCTTGTTTTTTTATAAACGTTTGTTTTATTCATCAGTGAGGGTTTTTGCTGTTTGTGTGTGCTTTATTATTGCTAGTTAATTAGTTTTTTTCTGCATGTCTATCATGCCTCATCTCATCGTTTCACTAATTTGCCTGAACGGCAAAATTCCTGAATATCTGACTTACTTAAATGCAATGTAAAAATGATCCCAATTTTATTCAATCAATCTAATCAAAAACCTTTGATCGCGTTTCAAGATTCTGTTAATTGCAAGATTGCCTTACTTTGTCGTCATAAGGATAACGTCAAATTGTCCGAAATTGAGGGAACTGTAAAGTTTTATCTGGACTGCTAAATCATCCAAAATCACTCCCTTGACAAAAGTCTTGTCTAGAAGGAGATGCAGACCGTCATAAAAACACCCTTGCAGTTAAATTCAAAAAACTTCTTTTACATGTTCAGTAGTACGTAATTTACGGAAGAAACCGCTGCGTTTCGTGTTTAACTTAAATTTCAGCGGGTGCGGCGTTTCTACCCATGCGGCGTTTAGGGCACTAAAATAAAATTTCCTATGATGGTCATTGTACTAGTTTGGATGCCTTGTCATTGTGCATAGACTGTGCTGTTCCCACCCAAAAGACCACTCAGTTGCTTTCTGCAAACTTTATTTTGTTTATATTCTTTCCTTTGAACAGACCTACATGCCTTATTCACCCTAAATGGGATCTCGAACAATAACATTCTTCCCCCTTTAAATCACATTTCATCAGTTTGAATAGTCCTCTCCTCTGTCATTCGATGATCTTCCGGACCCCTCTCTCCCCCCCCTGCCTTTTCTGCAATTTTTTTCAAGCGACTGCTCACCTGCTCGCATACGACTCTGAGTATTCCCTTACAGAATAGATTTTCTTGGCATTCTCCAAATACAGATACATCAGTTTGTACAAGTACTTGTTGATAGTTTTAAGTAAATCCTTCTTTTGGAAATTTTGAAATGTCTAACGGCACAGAGCTATAATTCTTCCTTTAATTTATTTTGGTTATGTTCATTAATGCATTTTCTTAACTGGTATCATATCAGGCTTAGTTGAGTTTGCATTATCGGCCCACGACGATGTCACGCGCAATTTAATCATGCGGCGTTCTGTGTAATTTTAATTTTTTTCCGCCATTTTTCTCGAGTGCGTTTTCTTCCGGAATTACGGTAGTTCAAAAATCTTCCATTGTACATCAAGCAATAGTATGTTCTCTGTAGTCTTCAGAAGAACAAGGAGATTCTAAATATATTTTAATTCTCACAAACTGTAACTCGTTCAGATTTGGCTCCTATCAGAACTTCAAG